CTGTAATCTCCTAGTCAACCGCTCCTAGCAGTTCTTCCTACGAACACCGCTGTCAACTGACCGGTCCGCGCTGTGTGAAAGTTCCAACAGCAGCAAGAGTTAAGAGTATTTCAAAAGAGGAAACGCCGGGCCACTCCGTCGGGCCGCTACAACGCTGCACCGTCAAAGAAGGACATCTGGGGGTAAGATAATTTCAAATTCTTAGAAACCACCCGATATGTGTAACGAAGGGTCAGTTCTGTGTCTCAGGGTTGGCGAAAAATTTCGAAGTTTCTGATTCTCAAACACCCCCACTCAAACACTATTTCCAGTGTATTCAAAGGTGCAAAATAATATTTGTAGATATAATTTGGTCTTTGTTTAATAGTAAACTGCTAAGCGTTACCCTGTTCTCCAACAAAATTTGTTCGAACTAGTTGACTTTGCCCAACTACTAGTACTTTCGTAACGCCATAAGTTTCGTTTCGCTTTCCCTGTACCCCCAATTTCTGTACCTACTAAAACCTCGATTTTGTGTTCGGATACTAGTAGCTTATTTTACTAGTTTCTCCTGGGGTAGTCTTTTTTTACTACTTCCCCACTATTCCCTTGTACCAGCTTGTGGCATCTTACCCTGCTGTGCATGGGCTACCCCCATTAATTATACCCGGCCATCTGTGGACTGTATTGTTATTCAGAATATTTTATCTGATAGCCTTCCTTCCCAAAAGTACTTTACTCCCAAACTTTTTTTGTATTCCGCATTGCAATGCAACTTTAAATTTTGGCTTCGACTTTTACGTCTGTGTTTGCCCAATCGTTTCAAACTTGTGGTCTAATCAGTGGTAACAAGGACATTCTCCTGGACCCATTCTCCTTGGTGGTAACAGCCCTTTTTGGAAACAGGCGAAACTACTGTAGTCGCATTTGCGGGGATCCGTATGTCACCCGTATATACTAAGTACTAGTATTCAAGAAATATATCAAGCTTTTCATTGAGTTGAAACCTGTGTGTGAAGAATCTAATACAATGTGTATTTTTTTGTCAGTTATTGAAGACGAGACAGTTGGCAGGACTGGGAGTCCTAACCGCCGAGGACTAAAGGTTCCTGGATGAGAAGAAAAGAACCGGGCGTGTTCGCACTAAAGAACCATGTTCAAGGTCTCCACCAAACGTGAGGAGGGCGCATCTGAAGACATGAGGGGACTGAACAGGAGCACCAGCAAGAGACTGAACAGGAGCAAAATACTGAAGTGGAGCACTAGCAAGAGACTGAGGAGAAACACTTAGGACTTAGGGTTGAAAGGGAGGAAGAGAGTTCCAGTGAGAAGGACAGTTCAGATAGTGAAAGTGAAGCTGCTTCTTCAGATAGTGGAGATGAAGATAGTGGAGAATTCAAGTGTTGTAATTGTAACCTTAATCATAATGCATTGCTAGGAATAGTATGTATTTTTGTTTACCATAAGAGGCTTTCTTTTTGTGCTTGCAAAGATGTAAGTTAGAGTTAGTTATGATGCAGAACAGTAGTGATGTAAGTCAGTAGATGTAATGTGTGGAAATAGGCATGCTGATGTCCGTGTATTTTATAGCATTAAAAACAAATTCATGTGTGCAACTGACGAATCTTCGCATCCGTGTCAAATACAGGAGAATTCAGCCTCGGATTTGTGTAGAATACGCGAAAATCCTGATTTCGTATCTGCATATTCGTAACAAATACGGGAGAATTCAGGTTTCGGATTTGTGTAGGATACGCGAAAATCCTGATTTCGTATCTGCACATTCGCAGCAAATACGGGGGGATTCAGGTTTTGGATTCGTGAGGGATACGGGAAAATCCTGATTTCGTATCTGCACATTCGCAGCAAATACGGGGGGATTCAGGTTTTGGATTCGTGAGGGTATACGGGAAAATCCTGATTGCGTATCTGCACATTCGCAGCAAATACGGGGGGATTCAGGTTTTGGATTCGTGAGGGATACGGGAAAATCCTGATTTCGTATCTGCACATTCGCAGCAAATACGGGGGGATTCAGCGGCCGGATTTGGTTAGGATCCAACAAAATTCCGACGTTTTAGCGTGGTTCACCTAAAGGATGCAAAAAGTTTCCTACAAAAGCCGTCATCGCATCTGCGAAAAATACGATTTTCGGATTTGTCCGCATCCAAAACAGTCCGGATTTAGGGATGCGAAATTTCGGATCCGTAACAAATGCGAGCCGTATCTGCCTGTATTTGCCTGTATCCTTGTAGGATGCGGCGAAATAACGGCCTGGATATGGGTGTATCCGTACCTATTTCGTCCAGTGTAGGCGACCGGCGGACCCAGCTGTTTGTAACTGTATCTCGTCTCTCCTTGTTGTAGGTGACCGGTCGAGCCGCCTGGTTTTAACAGTTTCCCGTCTCTCTCCCTGTGTTAGGCGATCGGCGGACCCGGCTGTTCGTGACCCACGTGGCGCGAGCGGCGTGCAGGAGGCGCAGTACCACGGCGTGCCGCTAGTCGGCGTTCCGCTGTTCCGGGACCAGTTTACCAACCTTGCGCGGGTGGAAGCCCTCGGTACGGGCCGGGCGGTGCGACTCGGGGAGCTTACGGCAGACAACTTACACAGGGCACTACAGGACGTCACCAACAACCACACGTACGGTTATTACCTTCGCCAAGAAGGTTATGTTTTCAGTAGCGTTTGTCTGTGTGTGTGTGTGTTTGTGTGTGTGTGTTTGTGGTTTAGCAAGATAACTCGAGAAGCAGTGGATGGATTAGAATGAAACTTAGTAGGTGAGTAAGTCTTTATGAGACCTAGAAATGATTAGATTTTTGGCCCCCTGGCGGCTTTTCTAGGTACTGCAGTAGAACTTCCGGTTTTGATCTCGTGATCTGGACATGCTAGGGTCACGAATTTTGGATGGCAGATAGCTCTTGGAATAGGGAAGAAGTGACATGAGTTTGGGTCCTCTAGCGGCTTGTTCTGGAACTGCAGGAGCATTTGTTGAAAAATTTTCGAAGGAGGATAACTCAAGAACCGGTTGACGGATTGTCGTGATTTTTGGTATGTAGGTAGTTGAAGTGATACTTGACATAATCAGATGACAATTATGCAAGTCAGGAGCTAATTTGCATAATTGATGAGGAAATTCTATGAATCTGCTTTGTTCGATAATAGAGCTATGAAACGGTTTTGACATCTACTTGAGAACGAGAAAAACATCTAAGGATAAAGATTATGTAAACGAGGACCTAATTTGCATAATTAATTGCAATTTTTTTATAATGTCATAGTTGTAACTGCTAGGAATTTCATACTTGCCACATATGGAAGTTAAGTGAAGGTGAACATCAATAAACATAATTTATTCAAATCATGACCTCATTTGCATAATTTATGAGGAAGTGCTATAAATAATAGCCTTCTTGTTAAGATAAGGCTGTCATTGGGTGGAGAATATGATCAACTGATATAACCCATGCAAATGAGGCTCGTATTTATAAAATCAATGATTAAAACTGTATAATTCGTCAACCGCAAGGGTTAACATTATTTGGATTTTAGAAAAAAAACAAGAAGAAATTTTGTTCTGACAGTGGTTAATATGCCGAAAATGGGCAAAGATATCTGTTGCCATGCCGGAAGGTGGATGGCAGATAACTATGAAGATATGAGACAAGAAAAGGCTCTGATTTAATGTTTTGTTTCTTACTTTGATGCAGTGATATGTGATGCTGGCTAGGCTGTGTATATGTGATGTTCTCACTGAATCAAAACCATTGGTACAATGATTGAGTCAAAATTCTAAATTGTAGGAACCTTGTTTTTTCGGCCCATCTTGTTTTTCTTTCGCCCGCTCGCATTAGATTTGGAGTCTGCGGAGGATGACATCCATAAAATTTACTTGCTGTGGCCTAATGTATTTATCATGTTTCAGGTACAGAGAAAACGCCCGTCGCCTGTCCCGGCTGTACAGGGACCAATCAGAGACCCCCATGCAGCGTGCCGTGTGGTGGGTCAGTCACGTGATCAGACATGGCGGCCTGCCCCACATCCGGTCACGTGCCACACAACTTCCGCTTCACCAGTACCTGATGATCGACGTTTCCTTGTTTTTGCTTCTGTGTGCTGGAATATTCTTCTACTGTGCTTACAGACTGTGGAAGATTGTACAAGCGTTTCTCTCAACATTTACAAGATACACGTTGAAAAGGGGTTGTGTATTGATGAGATATGTCACACGAAATATGGGGCAAAAGAGTAAATTCTACTGACTTTAAATATGACAAGGCAACTTCTATTGACTTTAAATAACACAATGCAACGTCTTTCTTTGTTCAACAGGATTCGAAGAAGTCAAATTAAGTGCTTTTGTTTGTTTGTTTGTTTATTTATTTATCCAGGAAATATATGTCAATTTTCAAAGGTTCCTGGGGGGGGGGGCAAACAAGATTCATTAAAAAAATGAACTCAAGATTAACAAAGGTATCAAATAACTCTGATTACAAATTGCATACAAGATCAAAGCAGCTTAAATAACATAAGAGAAACAATTTTGTAACCTTAACACCATATAACGTAGAACCAAGGTAGAACACAATACAATGAAATCAGTAATAAACTGTGTGACCAACTTTCCTTGACTCGCGCGTCCGCTCGTAGGTTACACAATGTAAAAACGTCACATCATGTTAATCCACGGGTCAGTATGCGTAGCTAAAACCAAGTTAAAGAAAAAACTAATAGTAGAAAGGCAACATTTGCTAAACAAATGAATAATGTTTACCTTCGCATATTCGTGACATTAGTCTAAATCCCTCATACTATACAACTGCAGCATTATGTAACCCAACACCAGTTACTATGGTGACAGACGGTCTGGTTCAGGTCATTGACCAGGCCAGTGTTTGGAACAGAAGAAGAAACAGGGCAAAAACAATCCTTCGGTAGACATAAAACAAAACAAAGAGTGGTCCCTCTGCCCATACCTTTTAAAAGTACTAATTTAAAGCAATTATAGATGTATGTATGCTGATGCTTCTTGCGCTGCAGAAAAGAATGCACCCAATCATATTGGTGGTGTAATCAAGTCTTCAGTGTACGATGGAGGCACCTTAGAGTAGGCTGCAGGTGAAGGACCCTGACCTGCCGCTGCACTTCATACCATCAGGACAGGAGGCAGTGCTGCACCCATATGGCAGCCTGTTTTCATGGAAGCTACCTGGAACTGAAATACAAATTTCACATATCTTCTGAAGATGTCGAACACTTCGGCACAAGGACACTTCGGCATCTGTTCACTTCGGCACCTACGCAGTTCGGCAACTGGACAGTTCGGCACCAAGCCCAGGACGGTTCGGCACTACGAAGACAGAATGCTGCTGTTGGTTGCTGAACCGTTTTATGACTTCCAGCGAAGATAGTTATTATGTAAAAAAAAGCAATGAGTGAAGAAGCCATCCAATATGTTTGGCAGAACTTTATAGAACTGTATAGCCCGTTTGTCAGAGCATTCTATACAGTTACCCGGCCTATACAGCATTCCGGAATAGCGCTGCCCCTTCCATATTGTTTTTATTGTAGCAGTTGTACAACAAAGTTGCGTACTCGGACGTAGAAGTTAAAGAAAAGATATCTATCGTGATAGGGTCAGGTAGATTAAACAACACCGTTTCACAAAAAATGTATCCGGCTGGCCAGGTGCCGAACCGTCCTAGGCAAGATACCGAACCGTCCTAGATGGTGCCGAAGTGTCCAGGTGCCAAAATGTCCCGATACCATCTTCTCAAAGGGCCAATGCTCTAGAACACGCTTATTTTGTGAAAGCGCGATTTTGACGCGGAGCGCTTCTCCGTAAAACACCCTTTACGTTTACACGCGTGGTACAAAAATGGCTCGGTGTTTCCTTTCGAATTTTGGCATGCTATAGAACAAGGCTTTAACAAGTCCAACCTTGTTCAAAATTTTTGTTACGGACGAATAAAAGTACGTTGTAGTGGCTGTGCGTTGAAATTTGATAATTTTAAGGCCATGTTTGTACAGTTGATTTGAACAGACAGAATTGATGATCCCTCTTGCAACTATGTGTTTTGATTCATTATGCATTTTCTTGATGTTTGACGTTTCAAATACTTGCAACGTCAAACAAGATACCATAGACTTCATACATCCCAATGACATTTTTAGAGGTTTGTGGATTTCTTATTTATACATTGTGCATTCCTCCATTTTAGCGGAT